GAAGTAGAGAAAACTGTTCATGATCCATGTGACTGAAGTGAAGCACATCTCCACTCACCACAAAACACCACCACCAAAAACCTGCTCCTTCTCCTTCTCAATCTCCTCCTTAAAACAAGTCAGTTGTTCATGTTGTGGCTCCGGTACGAGAGGAACTTTAAAATCTCCAGGTGCTCGATGCTGCGTCCATGTTTGTTCAACTTGTGTAAACACAGAGACGCTCGCTGCGGTTGACGTCGTCGTGTCTCCAGTGTCACATGTGGGACACTTTTGGACCGTTTAATGTTCACACTGGAGTCACATACAAGTCACATTTAACTGGAAATGTGAACCACCTCGAAAAAACATCGGATTTCACAAAAAAATCAGAATTGAGCGTTAAACCTGCAGACTGAACGTGGCCCAAGTCCTGGTCACATGTGAAAACATCACATCTGTGTGGTTCAGACATGAAAAGATCAGATACAGAAACATAGAGACAAAACATCAGATTTGGGAAACTTCAGCTGCAGTGTGAACGTAGCCTTAGTGATTTAGAATTTTAGTCTCATGTTGTTCCTTTTGTTGCTTTTTGTTCTCGTGTTTTGAGAGTCCTGGGTGAGTCGGGTCTATAATGTGCCCACAGCGCCCTCTTCCTGCCGGGCGCGGCGCAGGTGCTGCTCTCCAACAGGTGGAGCAGGTTCTGTGTTCTGTCGGGAAATGACTCAGGGGAATTTCCTTCAAATATTTTTAGATCGACTCAGGCGCTCGCCGTCCCAACCCAAACTCTGCACATGTGAACGCAGAAGAAGAAGAAGAAGAAGAAGAAGGAGGAGGAGGAGGTGAGTCCTGCAGATCTACAGATAATTTCAGTTGTTATGAACTGCTAAAGATTTGGTTTGATAAATGGAAGTAGAATCAGTCACAGAACCGTCCCGGGTTTATTACGATGGTTAATTAGTCGTAACAAGTCGAGCTGGTTCTTTTTTTTGTGTCGGGGAAACGAGACGCACGATCTTAAACTCGTCCAGATGGTTTTAGTTCGGCGCAGACGTCGGAGCGTGAGGCTGTTGTCGCGAGGATCAGACATAAACACGAGGGATTTGTGTCTCATCTTTAACAGAATTTGTGAGTCTGACGTGTAAATGTGTTTCAAAAGACTTTTAAGGCTCAAACTCAAAGACGGATCATAATCGTGCACATTACAGATTGTAAAAAGAACTTTATTTAGTCCTGACTGATTTATAAATGTGTTCTTCAAGGTTCACCGTGCAGGGTTCCCACGGTCATGGAAATCCTGGAAAAGTCATGGAATTTTAGTATCTCTACAGGCAGTGTTGGGAAGTTTACTTTTCAAATGTAATCCCCTACAGATTACAGATTACACACCCCAAAATGTAGTTTGTAACAGAATCCATTAAATTACTTCAAGTGAGTAATGTAATCTGATTACTTTGGATTACTTGATTTGCTGTAGAGAAACAAAGACGAGGAAATTGTAACATCAAATATTTTGTCCGATAAAATAAAATAAAAAGACCAAACTTTACTTAAACAAATTAAAAAATATTATTGGGAGAAAACGAAGAAACACGTCCACACAGGCACAGTCCTGTTAAATCCTGGTTTAGTCCTGGTTTAGTCCTGGTTTAGATCTAGTTTAGATCTAGTTTAGTCCTGGTTTAGTCCTGGTTTAGATCTGGTTTAGACCTGGTTTAGATCTAGTTTAGTCCTGGTTTTAGACCTGGTTTAGTTCTGGTTTAGTCCTGGTTTAGATCTAGTTTAGACTTGTTTTATTTTCCGGCAGTGAGTGGAATTACAAAAAAAAAAAAAAAAAAAAAAAGATTTAGCCCAAAAAGTAAAAACAGTAAAATCCCTCTGTTTAATCCACTTATTTGAACAAAGTAACTGTAATCCAATTCCCACTCACTGAAACAGTAACTGTAACTGAATACAGTTACTCATCATTTGTACTCTGATTACTCCGGTACATGTAATCTGTTACTCTCTGACTCTGTTCTGATTATTTGTGAACATTTGCACCTTTTGTTTTAAAGAGACGATAATAAAAACACCGACAGGATTTAAAATGTTTAAAAACTATAATGTGAGAGGAAAGAGATTTAGATTTACTTCAGATTTAGTCCTAAAAGTCATGAAAAAGTCATTGAAAAGTTTTGAAAAGCGTGGGAAACCCTGACTGTGTAACTGTTCGGTCTGGTCCCGGTCTGGTCTCAGTCTCAGTAGCGCTCTGGTCCCGCTCTGGTCCCAGTCTGGTCCTGGTCCATTTGAACCAAAAGCTCTTAGTTGGGTTGGTTTTCGTTGGTGTGAAAGTGTCGTGGTTCTTGAGTGTGGACGACTGGATCAGCTCGTCCAGACCTGGAGTCCACAGAACATCTCACTTTCCCCACACGGAACCAGCGCACAGACGATGACACGGAACCACTCGGACCACTGGTCCTGGTCTCAGTCCCGGTCTGGTCCCGGTCTGGTCCCGGTCTGGTCCTGGTCTGGTCTCAGACCTGGATCAGTCCTGGTTCAGTTTGACATCTCAGTCACTGAAGTCACGTAAACAGGAAACGGTCGTTATCTGTTTTTTTCCATTTTTCATTTAAACACAAAATTGAAAACTGAAAAAACAAATCATTATCTGTTTTTTCATTTTGGTTTTGGAGACAAATAATGAAGAAAACTGTTGTTTTATCGTTTTCTTATTTTTGGTTTTATATTGAAAAACGAATGAACGAACGACACATGGTTTGTTTTCCCAGTGGGACGTGTCTATGGACAAAGTCGATCTTTTCAAGTCTTTTGAACCATTTCACTTTTGTTTCTGGTTCTTTTATTGTCATATTTTAGTTTTTGGATTCGGACGTTGTAACTGTGTGTTTGTTGGATCGAAACAGCGGAAAACGACTCAAGAAATGAACTTCGGAAGTTTACAAAGTCCATAAGTGCAAAAGTGAATCAGATGGAGCAACAACAAAACAAAATCCTGTTTGTTAATGTAGAGGAGCAGAAGACAAACAGACTGAGCTGCACTTTCTTGTTCTTGTGGTTTTACACAAACATCATGTCTTGGTCTTTGCAGTGGAAGGTGTTTCTTGGTGAACAGTTGGAGACTTTCACTTTGGTGTTGACTTTTTAAATTTGTAACCAAGACTGAGTGAGGGATCAGGGTTTTGTTTTGTTGTCGTTCCACATACAAAATGTTCTCTGTAAACTCGGGATGATTTAGTCAGACAAATGTTTCCTTTTTGGTTCTTCTGTGGATCAATCCTGCCCATCACCTTCACCTTTCACTATTTTTCAATTCTGTTGGGAAGAGAAACAGTTTGAACAGAGGTTTGAGTCACACACATCTGATAACCCAAACTTCCAAAGCCCGTTTCTCGAGTCGTTTTCCGCTGTTTGGATCCAACAACCACATGATTACGACGTCCGAATCCCGAAACTAAAATATGACAATAAAAGAACCAGAAACAAAAGTGAAATGGTTCAAAGACTTGAAAAGATCGACTTTGTCAATAGACACGTCCCAAAACAAACATGGAGGTTTGATGTTCACTTTTTCAGAAAATCCTTCTCAGTCTGGATTGTGCGATGACCTGAAGTCTGAGATTCTGGATGCATCGATTTAAATTTTAAAACATATTTCAGTGCATATTTCAGACCAAACCCCCCCCCCCCCCCCAAAAAAAAAAGTTTATAAAGTGATCTGTTTGGGTTCATACTGTTTTCATTGTTACTGTTAAAAAATATCTTTAAATGTATTTTGTAGGAATGACCCCAGATTTCCAGGTAATACATCAAATATGGAAGAATCTCTGAGCAGAACAAGACTCTCAGGACTTTATCATTTCACAAATGTTTCACTCATCGGGTTAATTTCGTCACTACAATAAAACTACAGTTATTGTTTTTGTGCTGCTCGTCTTTTTAAACAGGAAATCAAATATTCTGAACTCTTGACTCATGTGATGTTTGTGTTTTCCACAGAATCTGGGGTTTTTCAGACGTGTGAGCTCAGACACAGGAACATGGCCGCGGCGCCGCTCGGTGAGGAACACGTTTAATCTTCAAACTGTTACATCACTGTTATATTCATGTTCCCAAACCAGTTGAATGTGTCTAAGTCTAATGTGTTTAAGTTTGTATTATGTGTGGTTCATTTTGCAATATTTTAACTAAATATCTTTTCTCTTTCAGCTTGTGATTTCCGAGTCGTGATGATCGGAAAGAACCAGGAGGAGAAGGCGAAACTGGGCACTTTCCTCACAGCGAAGTCCATCTTTCCTTACGACAAACTGTCCAGACAGAGCAGCGTGTTCAGCGGAGACTGGAGGAACTGTGCAGTGAAAGTTTACAACACCTCAGACCTGCTGAGGGCAGAAGAGTCCAGAGTGAGAGACGAGACACAGCGTCTGCTCCGTGTGACTGAACCTGGACCCAACGCCTTCCTGCTGCTCGTCGACCCTTCAGACTTCAACAGAACCGACCGCGACAAACTCAGGTCTGTGCTCAGGTGTTTTGGAGAAGACGCGCTGAAGTCTTCTCTGATCATTGTGACCGACAGTGACTTGGGCTGGAACCAGCATTTCAACGCCCTCAAACAGGACTGTGGCCATCGCCTGATCCAAATCAACTTTAACGATTTCTACGGACGCGTTCAGCAGAATTTAATGGACAAACTCCAGAAGATGATCAGTGATAATCAAAGGGAAACTTTTACAGGACAAAATCAAAAAACAATAGAATCTGAACATATTTACGATTACCCAAAAGTCGTCTTAAATATGGTGATGTGTGGGGGTTTCAGAGACTGGAAGACTTTAGCTGTTAAAGCAATTTTGGGGAAAAAGCAAAAACCATTAAAACTTTCCAAGTGTGTGAAACATGTGGGCACGTTTGGCAGGAGGACAGTGTCCATTATAGAGCTGCCGGCTCTGTCCAGTCTGACGCCGGACGCAGCCAAACAAGAGGCTCGCAACTGCTTCTCTCTGTGTGACCCAGCAGGAGTCCACGCCTTTGTGGTGGTCCAGCCTGTGGGTCCCCTCAGCCCTGAGGACCAACAGGAGCTGGACGCCATCAGGAGAGAGTTCACCTCCAAAATGAACGCCTTCAAAATGATCCTGTTCACCGTGGACTCAGAGTCTGGAGCTTTAGCCGTGTCCAACTTCATCAAGAGCAGCAAAGACCTACAAGATCTTTGTGAGAGCTGCAGCCACCGCTACGCCATCCTCAACATCAACGACAAAAAACAAGCTTCCAGCATCATCAAGATGGTCGAGGAGATCAGCGATTATGGATTAAAAAGTTTGAGAAAATCAGAGGCGAAACCTCAAGTCGCACAAAAGCCTTTGAAGACTTACGATAAAAAGACAAGCTTTATTCCAAATCCAGTGAAAGAATCTTTACGCATCGTTCTGATCGGGAAAACAGGGTCTGGAAAAAGCGCCACCGCCAACACGATTCTGGGCAGAGATGAGTTTGAGTCTAGAACCTCCCAAACGTCCGTCACAAAGTTGTGCAGAAAAGCAGAGGGGCAGATCGAGGGCAGGTCCGTGACCATCGTGGACACTCCAGGACTGTTCGATACAACTTTATCCAACGCCGAGGTCCAAGAGGAGCTGGTCAAATGTGTCAGTCTGTTGGCGCCCGGGCCACACGTGTTTTTACTGGTGCTGGAGGTCGGTCGTTTCACTCGAGAGGAAAAAGAGACAGTGAATCTTATTCAGAGCTTTTTTGGTGATGAATCAGATAAATATACAATAGTTCTCTTCACCAGAGGAGACGTCCTCAGAAACACAACCATAGAAGAGTTCCTCACTGGAGGCCAGACTCTGGGGACGCTTGAAAAATGTGGGAACAGGTACCACGTCTTTAACAACAAAGACAAAGAGAATCGAAAACAAGTCCACGACTTACTGCACAAGATCGACACAATGGTGGACGAGAACGGCGGCGGATATTACACTTCAGAGATTTTCCAAGAGGCTGAAAAGGCCATTGAAATAGAAACTGAAAGAATTCTCCAGCAGAAGGCGCCAGAAATCGAAAAGCAGAAACGTAACATTGAAGAGTGGCACAAAAATGTCATCAAAAGTGCAAAAAGTAAAATTGCAGCGATGAAAAATACATTTGAACTGGACATTTTGCAAAAGCGCAAACAGGTTCGGGAGCAGCAGAGGAAGATCGAGATGGAACAGGAGAAGATCAGGGAGTTTGAGGAGAGGAGGAAAGAGGAGCAGAGACTTCTGAAGCTGGAGGAGGAAAAGCAGGTGCAGAAGTGGAACGACAGATACAAGAACTTAACGAACCCGAGCAGCACCGGGCGACGGCGGCGCATGAGCTGTGCCCTGGAAGAGTTCCAGCTGGACAGGATGGCCTTGTACCAGCAGAGAGAACTGCTCCAGATCAGATCGGAGCGGGAGGAGCGAAGACGACAGGAGGTGAGCACGCAGTTCGAGACGCTCCAGATCGAATACGAAGAGGCGAAGAAGCTTTACGAAGCCAAAATCCGCGAGGACGAGTTGAGACGCAGAGAGGAGGAGCAGGAGATGAGGGCCGTGGAGGAGGTGTACCTAAAACAGTTAGAAGCTCTTCATCAGAGAAGTTACGACGAGGCGAGGAAGCAAGCGGAAGCGTCCAACGACTTCCAGGCTAAATACATCAAAGACGACAAGGCGGATCTGGAAAAACAACTGGAGCAGATGAAGGCGGAGCAGAGGACGAGCGACCGGCGCATCCTGCAGCAGCTCAAAAGAAGCAAATCCTGTCTGAAGGATTATAACCTGATGATCGAGCGGCAGAGGCAGGAGATGCGAGCGCTGGGGCGGCTGCAGACGAGTCACGACCCCGAATTTCTGATGAGCGGCGTGGAGGAGCTACGGAAGCAACACGATGAAGAAGTTCACGTCTGGATCCAGGACAAAGTGACGAGCGCCGCGGACAGTAACGCCTGCGTCGTACTCTGATTATTATTATAAAAAACCGTTTTGAAGATCACGACGTCCTGAGATCTCGATTATTGACGCGAGGAACAAACTGTCCAATCTTCTTTTGTTTCTATAAACCAACATGTTACAGTTTGTAGAGACGGAATCAAATCCGTGTGTCATTCGTTCATTTGTTTTTCAAAATAAAACCAAAAATAATAACGGACTAAATAACAGACGGATAATGGACTAAAGCGGGACTGAACCAGGACTAAACCAAGACCGAACCAGGACTGAATTGGCCTCAATCCCGGTCTGGTCCCGGTCTCAGTTCTGGTCTCAGTTCTGGTCTCAGTTCTGGTCTCAGTTCTGGTCTGGTCCCGGTCTCAGTTCTGGTCTCAGTTCTGGTCTGGTCCCGGTCTCAGTTCTGGTCTCAGTTCTGGTCTGGTCCCGGTCTCAGTTCTAAACTAGGACCTGAACCAGGAGTGTCAGGACGAGCCCGCGTAGACTGTCGGGTGATCAGGACTAAGACCAGGACTCAGACCAGGACCAAACCGGGACCAAACCGGGACTGAGATTTAGACCTGGTTCAGTCCTGGTTTAGTCCTGGTTTAGACCTGGTTTAGTCCTGGTTTATTCCTGGTTTAGACCTGGTTTAGACCTGTTTTAGGCCTGTTTTAGACCTGGTTTAGACCTGGTTTAGTACTTGTTCAGTCCTGGTTTAGACCTGGTTTAGTCCTGGTTCAGTCCTGGTTTAGTACTTGTTTAGTCCTGGTTTAGTCCTGGTTTAGTCCTGGTTCAGTCCTGTTTTAGTCCTGGTTTAGTCCTGGTTCAGTCCTGTTTTAGTCCTGGTTTAGTCCTGGTTCAGGTCTGGTTTAGTCCTGGTTTAGTCCTGGTTTAGTCCTGTTTTAGTCCTGGTTTTTGATTTAAACACAAAATCAAACTGAAAAATCAAATCATCTGTTTTTTGTTTTTTTCTTATTTTAGTTTTTATTTTGAAAAACAAATGAAGTCACTTTGAGTCACTTTATCACTTGAACTTTGCTGTGTCACTTTTAACGGGAGTAAAAGTAAAAAAAACAGGAGTTGTTGCGTCTTTATTTTGTCTTTGAGATGTTATTGTGTTTTTTTGAAAGGTTTTGAACGGACGTGACCTGGTTTATTTCACCGCGCCCACTGACGCGTTATTAAAGTGTCACTCACGGTTTTGTTAAACTCTTTTAATAACCACGTTTGGCTCCTTTGAAAACTTCCTGATCCTTTTACAAAAGCTGCGTTCGTTTAAATAAAAAAAAAAAAAAAAAAGTCCTTCTCCAACCGCGTCGTTTGTTTTTCAAAATAAAAGTCTAATTCTTCATAATTTGTCTCCAAAACAAACAAAAAAACAGATAATTTGTTTTTTTTTTCACTTTTCAATTTTGTGTTTAAATGAAAAATGGAAAAAAAAATAAATAAATAAATAACGGTCGTTTCCCCGTTTACGAAACTTAAAACGCCGATGTTGGACTTTTGCGCCGCATACGGACTAAACCAGGACTAAACCAGGACTAAACCAGGACTAAACCAGGACTAAACCAGGTCTAAACCAGGACTAAACCAGGACTAAACCAGGACTGAACCAGGACTAAACCAGGACTGAACCAGGACTAAACCAGGACTAAACCAGGACTAAACCAGGACTAAACCAGGACTAAACCAGGACTAAAAACAGGACTAAACCAGGACTAACCAGGACTAACCAGGACTGAACCAGGACTAAACCAGGACTAAACCAGGACTAAACCAGGACTAAACCAGGACTAAACCAGGACTAAACCAGGACTGAACCAGGACTAAACCAGGAAACCAGGACTAAACCAGGACTAAACCAGACTAAACCAGGACTAAACAGACTGAACCAGGACTAAACCAGGACTAAACCAGGACTGAAACCAGGACTAAACCAGGACTAAACCCAGGACTAAACCAGGACTAAACTAAACCAGGACTAAACCAGGACTAAACCAGGACTAAACCAGGACTGAACCAGGACTAAACCAGGACTGAACCAGGACTAAACCAGGACTGAGCCAGGTCTGGACAAGGACTAAACCAGGTCTAAACCAGGTCTAAACCAGGACTAAACCAGGACTGGACCAGGACTGAACCAGATCCGGGACCAGACTGGGACTGAGACCAGGACTTAGATGAGAACCAGACAAGAACTGAGTCCAGGACCGGGACTGAGACCGGAATCAGACTGAGACCAGGACCAGACTAGGACCAGACCGGGACTGAAAACAGTTTAGTCCTGGTCCAGTCCTGGTTTAGTCCTGGTTTAGACCTGGTTTAGACCTCGTTTAGTCCTGGTTTAGACCTGGTTTAGTCCTGGTTTAGTCCTGGTTTAGTTCTCTGTGTAATCTATTTATTTCAACAAAGTAACTGTAATCCAATTCCCACTCACTGAAACAGTAACTGTAACTGAATACAGTTACTCATCATTTGTACTCTGATTACTCTGGTACATGTAATCTGTTACTCTCTGACACTGCTTACGACAAATAAACAAAGATCTTTACTGAAATTAAAATAAATATTTATAATAAAAGAAAAAGAAATTTAAATCACAACAGCGTCAACAAACTGTTAAACAAATAATCAATAACGGTTCAATAAAAATGCTGCTCTGGAAATGAAACCATCTGATGATTGTTTTTGCTGAAACTTGATCTCAACGTTTTGGACGTCGGCCATTTTCACTTTTGTTGTTGTTGTTGTAAGAAGCAGGAAAAGATTTTCACAACATGTAACAGATGATTGATGAACCAGATGATTGATGAACCAGGTGATTGATGAAACAGGTGATTGAATCATCATCATCTGGTTTACACAAAGTCTCCAAATCAATAAACGATGAGCCGAGATTTTACAACTGAATCAATGAATCAAAAGAAAAATGAACAACTGAATCAGAATAAAGTTGAGTTAAAGTTAAACGTGAACTTCACGTGACAGGTCAGAATATTTATATATATATATATATATATATATATATATATATATATATATATATATATATATATATATATATATATATATATATATATATATATATATATATATATATATATATATATATATATATATATATATATATATATATATATAAAATGTGTTTTTCTCACCTTCCATGGTGGTTGGTCTCTCACCCTCATTCAGCTCAGGTCGTCTACCAGGTCCTGGGAGCTTGACAGTTCTTCACAGTATCTTTGCTGTTCCCAGTTCTGCACTTTTCTGGACTGAGATGTTCCGTTGTTTTTCCTGGTATCTGTTGTGTCTCTTCCAGTTTGGGGGTTACAGCCCCGAGTGTCCGATCACCACAGGCACCACTGATGCCTTTACTTTCCAGGCTCTCTCCAGCTCTTCCTTGAGCCCCTGGTATTTCTCTAGCTTCTCGTGTTCCTTTTTCCTGATATTACCATCGCTTGGTATTGTGATGTTCCAGTTACAAGTACCTTGGTGTCCCACAAGCAAATGGCTCCTCGAAGAGGCAACAAGGAAAGTGGCTACGGCCAAATACCTGCAAAGAGTGAGGCAAGTCCTTAGAAGCAGCTCAATGGCAAGAACAAGGTGCAGGCAATCAAACAGCTACGTCCTGCCAGTGATCAGATCCCTGCAGGGATTGTAAGCTGGCCAAAGGAGGAGATACAGACCACAGATGTTAAGACACGAAAGCTCCTGACCTGCATGGAGGGTTCCATCCCAAATCCAGCACCCTGAGACTGTACGCAGGCCGGAAGGAAGGGGGCCGAGGACTAGTGAGTGTGGGAACCACTGTCCAGGATGAAAACATCCAANTATATAAATAAATAATCACACCACAACACCAGGTTTAAGATTCTGTTTTTAAATGTCTCATCTTTTATACTTTTGTCATTTTGGTGAAGTTTTTCCAGAAGTTTTTCTGAGGAACTAGAATCAAAACAAGAGACAAAACTAAGAGTCTAAATCAGAGGCATCCAAACTTTTCCAGGTCTAAACCAGGACTAAACCAGGACTAAACCAGGACTAAACCAGGTCTAAACCAGGACTAAACCAGGACTAAACCAGGACTAAACCAGGACTAAACCAGGACTAAACCAGGACTAAACCAGGTCTAAACCAGGACTAAACCAGGTCTAAACCAGGACTAAACTCAGAGTTTCAGCTGCTTCTCTCTGGTCTGAGGTTTTTAGTCTCAACATCTAGAACGAATCGTTTTAAAAGGAGCTTCGTTCCAGCCGCTGTTGAACTGATGAATAAACTGTGATCTGTTTATCTAAGTTTGTGTGTTTTGAACATATTTAATATTTAATATTTATTGTGATTTTAGCCGAGCCTGATGGATGAATTGAACTGGTCGTTTATGGAACAAACCGTCTGGACACTTTACTTTGTAATTGTGATTTTCTGTGTGTTTTGTGGATGATGAAATGTGAAATGTGGAACCTGCTGCTCAAATCTGCAAAACAAATTTACCTACGGGTACGAATAAAGCGACTGAACCGAACTGAAGAAGTGTCAGACTCCAGACTCTGGTGGACGACCTGAGCTGCATGAGGAGACACCAACACTCTGGAACCTTCTGTAGATATAATAAAGAATAATAATAATAATAATAATAATAATAATAATAATAATAATAAAAGAGCACAGGTTTATTTATTTAGTGAAGTGAAGGTTTAAAGTGGGAGAAAAAGTCTGTCCTCGTGTCCAGTGTTGGGAAAGTTACTTTTCAAATGTAATCCCCTACAGATTACAGATTACATACACCAAAATGTAGTTTGTAACGGAATCCATTAAATAACTTAAAGTGAGTAATGTAATCTGATTACTTTGGATTACTTGATTTGCTGTAGAGAAACAAAGACGAGGAAATCTTCACATCAAATATTTTGTCTGATAAAAGAAAATAAAAAGTCCAAACTTTACTTAAACAAATTACAAATATTATTGATAGAAAACGAAGAAACACGTCCACATGGCCTGGTTCAGTCCTGGTTTAGTCCTGGTCTAGTCCT